TTAGCTTTTTCAAAAAATGCCAAATTTTTAAGTAACAACTACCAGTAAAGCCTCTTTTATTACTTGTTTTTACCCCACACTTTTTAGACCCCCACTTTCTCAGCGCTCCGCCGGTGCCTGAAGTTACTAGTAATACTTGTAAAATGACCTTAGATTAAGCTTGGTAACTATTGTATTCGACAAGAGGACAAGAAGAAAACTGAAAATGGAATTTGGTCAAAAAGTCGGTCATTTTCCCAGTGTAGCCTAAAAATTCGCCTCCTAGGTCTATTTTTGGCGGAAAGTTTCTCAAAACTGTAAAGGAAAGAAACTGCTGGAAAGAAAATTTTGAGAATACGAGAAATGAAGAATTTTGTTGCATAATCTGTCATTTTGAGTTGACAGTATTTTCTTTCAGTCATAATCCATTTTATAGATACTTGTTCTGGCCATACTTAAATACCATATGTCTAAAAATTTTCTTGCCGCCAACATGGTGGCTTTCTAAACCTTTTCATAACCTTGATTTTTTGGCCCTCCACTTTCAAATACGTTTCGGCGCCCTTTTCTGTTACTGTTTGAAATGTAAAACTCGAATTCATATCATCTTGTATTACAAGTTGTAACGTTAAACCTAGAACGTTGTCATTATAAATCATTTTCACTTTTACTATAATCATGTTACTGTATTCACTGAAATTTTGTCTGGGCTCGAACACGTTTCGGTTCCTCCCAACTTCCTAGGAAACTTTTGTTAAAATGTTATTGCTGTTAAAATTGTTAATTATCTTTTCGACACTTAATGACTTCTATATTGTAAAATGTTCTGAATATTTGAATGAATTTGAGTTTGGAGCTTGAGAAATAGAAGACTTCAGTTGACGCAATTTAAAAAGTTTACAAGAATGAGTGAAATTGAGATTGATCCGCTTGTTACTGGGTTGTTTAGCTTGTTCCTCGTTTTAGAATCGGCGGCCCTAAACTGTGTTACGCCCTGACTCACCCTCCACAACACTTTTTTTTCAAGAACATTGTTCGTAAAATATTCAACTCAGAATCATCCATATTATAAGAATATCTCTAAGAATTATGCTCAGTCTCAGCATATTTGTGCCTAATTTTTCAGCATTTGCCTGTTTTGAGATTTTTCATAGCATTGATCGTAGAACTGACACTTTCTATATCTCGTTTTTCAAAAAGCGTGGTTTTTTAGAGTGAGGGGGCCCCAGTGAGCGTTTTGAAAAAGCGTTTATATTCAGATTGAAAAATAAGAATACTCAACAGAATATATTCAGGTCGAAAACAAAAATATCCTAAGAATATACGAAGCTGGAAAATATTTTATAACATTCTCATTAAAAAAGGGTGTATCACCATCTCGTAATTATTTCTTTATTTACAGCTTACTAAAAACGAATATGGCTATTTTACAGCTTACTTAGGCCGACTACTAGGTACTTTTAATAAAAACGAAACTACCTAACGGAAATTGTAACCAACTTGATAAAAGCAAATTGAGGACCAAATATTTATCAGTCAGTATGTAATCTGTGCCCCGGCTTACAATAGGAAGTATCTGTCATCAAAATACACGACTTTTCTTGCAAGATAGGCATCAAGCTGCTCATCAAAAATAATTTCAAGACACTTCTCCTCCTCTCCCCGCCTCTTTCCGCTCCTTGCTATAAACCACTACCCCCTGGAACACGACTCGACTACATGAAAGTGATCAATTCAATTCAATGTCTCGACGAAGTGACATTTGCCTTGACGAAGCGAGACCTGTCACGATTAATCAATCCTGCCTTGACGAAGAGCAACCCGCCTCAACGAAACGACAGCTTTCACGATACAGGACCGGCTCGACGAAGTGAAACCCGGCTCGACGAAGAGAAATCCGCCTCGACGATCAGACAATCGCGTCGACGAAACAAAGGTACCCATTATGTCCAGTACATGACTCCATAGTTAACAGAGGAACACTTTCGTCCAAGCCAGTACCATTACTTCATAATCAGGAAATGTCTTTCAAGAAATAAGTGGTTAAAGAAAATTCGAAAAATAGGGAGCAAACATCAAAATGCACACTGTCAAGAGAAGAAATAAAGAACGCTCTCACCAAGGCTTATTGTGGTCGTAAAAAACATGAGCAAATACACTTCCAATAAGTGCATAGGGTAACCATAGCTCCAACAGAAAAAACTTGAACGTAACGCCTCGGTCTTGGGTGATGCCTCCAGAGAAGAATCCAAAAGCTTGTAAAGCGTATCTATCTGTCTCGTTCTGCTTGCAGAATGAGAGTGCACTAGCTATCGTGCTATGTGGGCGTACCATCACCACATGGAGAAATTAAGGGAACGGAAGAACTATTGTTTAGCAGGACAATACAGGGGCGGATCTAAAGAAAAATTTGACTGCCGCAAAAGGGTGTGGTCCAAAAGTAAATGGCAAAAAGGGGCGTGGTCAAAACCCATTTGCGCACGCGCAATGTAAAGTGGTTAAATAGTGGCGTTGCTTGCATGTAAATATTTTATGTTATTCAAGGAAACTATAAAACAACATTATCTTAAGTAATTCTTCACTGCCAATTATGAATCTTCACTGCCTACTTCTTTTACAGTTACAAAGGTTAGCATGGTTAATAATAGGGTATAGTTGATATCAAATCTGCATTGATTCTATATCTTGCTACTGCACAGGAAACGTCTGTCAAAAAAATTCACCAGCTTGTCTCTGGATGAATTTACACCAATTCTTAGATAAAAAATGTCCAAAGGCAGGCAAATTGCATAATATTAAGCTTTAGAATATTGAAACCATGGGTAACTTTTAAGCCAAGAGAATGAAAAACTTTCTTTTTTCCTAAATTTGGAAGGAACTCTAAAATTTGCATCTGGTTCCCAGGCATTGTTCAAGAGATCCTACTACTGAGCTGCTCCAACAAGTTCAACTTGTCCAAAAAGCTACTATCAGAATAATTTGAAACAGCAATTTCAATTCATTTTCTGTTTTGAGATTTTATGGTTCAGTTTATGAAAGGAAACAGAACTTTCTTTAGGAGTATGAAGGTCTAAGTGAGTAGGCTTGAATTTGGCTTCTTCTCCTCCTAAAGCTACAACAGTTAGACTTTGCATTTGCACTTGAATCTTAAAAACTAGTCTTTACACTACTGGAACTTATTGAACATTGTCCCCATCAAAAACTGAACAAAGATGTCAGAAGTCTATATAAAATTCTATCAAAATAGAATTTTATATAGACTTCTGAAATCTTTTTTCAGTCATGCCAATAACCTCTAGATACATGGTGTTTTGATCAAGTTTGCAGACAGGGTGTAAGTTATTTGATGTTGCTGTGTTAAGCACCTCAAATGTTTGACAGTTTAAAAGCATATCAATAAGCCTATGGGTCTGGTCTGTTGCCAGCAAAGAAACAAAATTGTGAAAGAATGCACTGAAGGTTACATACAGATAAAGCTCTGCTATAAAATGCCCTAAGTAATTGATATTTTTTCGTACTAAGTTACTTTCATAGATAAAGATTATACAGACAGTTAACATTACAGATTATACCAACAGATGACATTGCAGATTGACAGATAATAGATACAGACATCAAAGAATAAAGTATTTTTCGAATATTTATTTGGGAGTCATTCAGATACACAAATTCTATTTCCCTTAAGTTTACTTGTCTTTTTAAAGGCATTTTCTCCAAAATATCTCAAAAAGCAACCAAGGGCATCCTGAGAGGACAAGATAAGCTAATTTCATAACCATAAATAGCAATTCAATAATCCTTACTAAAATAACACAGATTTGCCAATCAGGTGATAGCTATGTCAAGTTATCAGAAATATAAGCACTGGTTAAAATTTACTTCTGAACACATAAACATTCACCAGACTGTAATGTTATGTTTTTAGTTTTTAAGTCTAATAGCAACAGCTTTCCCAAATTGAAAGATCTCTGATACATTTGTGTCTGATGTGTCATAACATAACATAACACAACAGAACATAACATAACATAACATAACATAACATAACATAACATAACATAACATAACATAACATAACATAACATAACACACACAACACAACACAAGATAACATAACATAACATAACATAACATAATTTGAAATATAGCACACAAAATTAGAAAAAGAAACCTAGCATGCTCTGATGCGATGTTTGAAACAAATCGAAATTGAAGTTAAAAAAATTTAAAGAGAAAGTGAGGCTAGCTATTTTCCCTGGAACCTCCACAGAATTTTTGAAACCAGATTTTCTATGTGTATTAAATTCTTGTGTCTGTAAACTTATAAAATACTTATTAAATACTCTGTCTATTATTTTTAAATTTACATCGTCATGATTCGAGTCAATTTGATCAAACAAATAATATTTTTTCTATACTTTATGTTGTATCTGATAATATACACATTTTATGCGATAAAAAACAAAGTTTTTTGGCAATCATATTGTTATTAAAAAACAAAGAACATTATTCAAATACGTCTAAATTAAAAGAACCCGAACGTTAACAAGAATGAAGCATAAATGACAATGTTTCAAAACGTTTGCTTCAATAATAATTCACCTCCAAAGAAAAAAGTTTGTTCTCGGCTCAACATAGAACTTTTAACCAAGTAGGCCTAGCTCCGATACTTTAGCTGCAGAGATAGAAGCAGAATTTCCAAGTCTTTTAAGCTTAATATTGCTAAGGTCATGCATGAAGCTTCCAATATTCACGTCTCTGACAGAACTTAACCTTTTTCAGGATATCCTTTCCCCTTCTCAGCTTTATTTTCCTGTCTGTCAAAATCACGGTACAGGAGTGAAATGAGGCTGCTAATCGTCTTCATGATCACCGCACCGATCTAGTGGATCACCTACGTATCACAAGTATCACCCTGATATCAAATGCGGCATTCTGCGGCACCTCAAGATTCCAAATAACCATACGCTGAGCCCACTCTACATATTTTGCATATACAAAAATTTCTCATACATCTCATCGATGCCGCAAGGAGAACAATAAAAATGACGTAGGGTCTCAAAAACGATTGTTTAAAACTGCGCGGGCATCTAAAATTAATATGCGAAATGCCGCAAAATATAATTTATGTCAAATCATCTGAGGCAGGGAAGAAGATCACATAATCGCAGGGAAAGAATCACTTATTCGCTCAATATGAGGCGAAGCAAAGATGCAAAGTAGGGTCTCACAACGACTGCACGCAATCAATTAATGGAGATACTTGGGGGAGAAGAGGGGGGGAGGTGGGAGGGCATGAGTCATTAACAAAAAAATCAAAGGATGTATGTAGTGGAATTTCAAATAAATGAAACTGAAACTGAAGATGTGTTTGGCGAAATTTAAATGTTTCAGTCTTTGTCAGCGGTAGTTGACTGCCTTGCGTAAGGCAGTTGCGGCACCCTAGATCCGCCCCTGCAATAGGTAATCAAGTCATGTGTGGTATTTTTTTCCAGTGGATTAACTCTGTTTAAACAAGTCTAAACAACATTTGCTGTTGCTTGCCTCGTTTCTGTTTTGTTTTCCCAGCTGGGCGGAGATTGATAAAAGATGAGGTAAGGCCTCCTCCAGGCCTCACCTCATCCTCCAGCCAGGCCTTCAAACGTTTTGAATAAATTGGTGATACAAACAACATATTTCCTCTCTCCCCTCCTCTCTCTAGAAATAGTTTTCTTCTTTTCGTTCATTTTGTATCTTTAAATTGTAGTCAATTTAGTTTCATATGTTGAATGTAAATTACCACAGGGTTGCTATGTATTCCCATGCTCTTTGTGGTATCGTCTGGTAAATTTGTGTATGTTTTTGTAAAAATTTTATGTAAATATAAAAAAAGAAGATGAAGTAAAAAAACCATTAATTCAAAAACCAAGCTGGGGCAAAAAGTAGCAATAAATTGCGACTTAAACAAAATTTCCAGATTTGCCCAACCGATATACTGGCAGCCATAAATTTGTCCGACAAAATCTGCTTTTTTGAAGATTGGGGAGGGGGTGCAACCCCCGCCAGTAGTTTTGCCCCTGCAATCATTACCTCTTGACACAAAAATAAGCAAATCGAACTGGATAGAAGCGAAATGTTTCCTACCTTGATGACATCTCTGTATGGGATATTCTCCCCCGGTCGATCATTTGCCATTAGATAATTGTACCGTGTTCCTGACAGTCCTTGCCTGTATGGATGGGTTGTTGGAAACTCAACAGAAGCATCATCTTTGATTTCATGTTTACATGTCTAAGACATGTAAACATGAAATCAAAGATGATGTCTTGCTGTTTAAATCTATGACAAAATTTGTGACTTTCCCAGGTGCAACACTGGTATTGCTTAGCCATACCTCGCTATCAAAGTCCATATTGAATTTTGGACCCAAACATGGAGCTGTAAATTTCAATAAATGGCCTTCTTGCTCGGCTGTTCCAAAATGAAAAATCTGCCAGGATTGAAATAAAGAGACATTCATATATAATTCTCTTACTCTTAACAGCATAACTGCGGCAGTGATATATTCAGGTAACCATGTCCTACATGACTAAAAAGCCAACAATGGACATGATATACACATGAAAACGAGCAGGATAATAAAAAATTGCTAAATGTATTGAAAATGCAACATATTGGAGGAATATCAAGCACTCTTTAATGAGATACACTGAAGATATTTTCGACAAATCGCGACCAGAATAATGATTTCTCATTTGGTACAATCCCATAATGATTCCCGATACTTGTGACAGGAACCTCAATAAATGTGGGAAGTGCTACGAACGATGAATAAATACTTGTTGTAGAGTGACAAGAAACATATATTAAGGTTTATAAGCATAAATAACGCCGTACATGAAATGTTCCGGTATCAACTGTTACAATCTGATCACTTTTTGCTGGATCTCGTGGAATAATGACGAATTTTGAAGGAAGATCTTTATGGTGTTCCATCGCTTCCCCAGGTGAAGTCCATCCTGCTGCAATTTTGAGCGACAGCCATGTAGTTACCTTGACAAACGGAGTGATATGGACAATGTAGTACTCGGGCAAAAGAGCAAAGTCGTGCATGTAATTTAGTCCTTCTATTAAGCGTCTTTGTTTTTGGTGCAACGACCAGTCCTCGTTGAACTCGAAAACATCCAGGCCTGGTGATCGTCGAAATCCAGGGCGTTGGCTGAAGCATACAAGACGCTGCAAGTCAAAGAATTGTAAGAAAGATTAGAAGAGAAGCACGGAGTTAAGTTACCACCAACATGATAAGCGTTAACTCCACAGAGAGATTAGATATTCAAAGGAGGATTCTGGTTGGGAGCAGGCCTTTTCAACAAAGATAAAGGAGACAATTTCCGTTTTTCTTGACCATGCACCATTTTCCAATTTTCCTTCTTTGATAAAGGATAATATTTCAAAATACCGACCGGTGGTAAGCTGCTACAAAATAGAAGCTAGGAGGGGGGAGGTTACTGAGGAAGATCCAAAGCAGAGCAATTCTTAGAGCACACGCCTTGAATGGCCTTATTGTTAATTATTCCATTGCAACACTCTTCTTAATGTGCTTTCTTCCATTGATCAATATCAAAATCAATATCAAATGACCTACCTCTCTACCCAATTGTAGAAGAACTCGGGGGACCACTACTGGACAAAAGTGGGATAATTTCCCCTTAAACCCCCTTGTCAATAGAAAGCTTAAAAGCACAATAGCTTTTTGCTACAAAAGTTTTTGTCTATAAAACTTGGGTCACTTCCCTCTTCCCCTTTTCATTTCCCTCTGCATGACAAGCAAATTGTGAGGAACAGGATAGGAAAAGGTCCTTGGAAAAGGGGGCAAAAATTCTTTCACAAAGAATAAATCATTGTTGCAATGTACCACCTTATTAACTGCGTCAATTTTGAAATGTGCACCAAGGCATCCAAGAGACAGATTTCCATTCAAGTTGTCTAGTCCAAGTGTTTCTAAATTGCGTGGGTCAAGGCAGTACCGCAGTGATGTTTCATAAAGAGACAGAAGCTGCAAGAAGAGAAACTTAAGTTATCAACAAGAAGAGAAACAGAAACTGTAATATTTTATAGATATGCTATTGGGAAAATGGCTGAATATCTTTGAAAGTATTTTCTAACAAAAAACTGCCAATCTTATAATAAAAGCCAGTGAAAAATATTCTGCTCGGTTCACTCGCCGGGGACCCTCGCCTGTACGTCTACAGAATGTTTTACAATTTCCCCTCGTCTTAGGGTTTATATAGGAATGTCCTTCATATACTTTAGACATTCCAGATAGAATAGAAACTAATATGCTTCAATCCTTAAAAAACTGGATTCTGAAATGCTTGTCGGGCATTTTGCAGATTTTTCTCCAAGGAAAACAGACTTGTTTGAAAATTTCGAGTACTGTTTATTATTTTTAGACATTTGCTTACAACTTTTGAAAATCAGTTTTTACACGTAGAGCCTCCAGTTTTTACACGTAGAGCCTTATTCAATTCAGAATATTAACATTAATTTTTCCCTTGGGTGAAACCCCCAAACCCCCTGCCCCCAATCTCTTTCTGCTCCAATTTTCCAACCCTGGTATGCCACTACTCCTACATGCCTATACAAGCCAAATTTAAAAACAGCAAAACCAACTGTAATAATATTAAATGATAAACAGTTGCGGCTACAAGCTTTATGCCTCTGCTGCAAAAAGCTGTAGTGAATCCCTGTCAAAACCTAAGTGCTTTTCTGATAGTATCACCAACCTAACTAAAAAGCCATATGGGTCAGGCAATTTGCAAAGAGAGGACAATTTAAAGGAGGGGAAAATTAAAGGAGGGGAAAAAGTTTAGATTTAGAAGTTTAGATAACATATCAACATTAGAGATGAAATAAAAAATTCTTCTGACATATTCAGAAATTCTTGTGCTATATTCAGCTTTAAAAACTTTTGTCTCAAAAATGTAACATTTATATAATTAATAGAAAACCAAGTTAAAATTCTGACAAGATTTGAAGCTTTTTGACAAAATAGCAGTTTCTGACCCCCCTCTATCTAAGCCATTGGGTCAGGCAGTATTTGATGAAGCTACCAGTAGGATGGTTTTGGGGTGCTTCAACTTTAAAAATTATAGGGTAAACAGAGGTTAAAGGTACCAATATATTGAAAAACAGAAAAAACGACACTAAAGA